AACTGTGTGTAAGTAGTGTGTCCACAATTGTATTGGGAGTGGTATAAAGACAAAATTCTGAGGTTAAAACTGGACCCAAATCCCAGTGATTTTGAGGCCCATGAAGTGCAGTTTTCCCCGCTTATCAAATTGATTGGCAGGGGCCATGTTTTTATAAAAAAAAACTTCTATAAACATGTCCACGGAAATTTTTTTCAACTAGGATTAAAATGTGTTCCAACTCTCTGTGATTTCTGCAAATGACTTTTGTGTATGACTCATCATTTCAGAAAGACTTGAAGAAACTCCACCACAAATACATGGAATAAACTTACTTGGTACTTTTGACTAATGAGCTGTATTTTAACTTCATCTGTGACTGTCTCTATCACAGACTGTTGTTTATCTGCTGTAACGCATGAGAAGCAGACATACATGTGGTAGCAGTGGGCAGATAGAAGCAGCTTATTTGCGTTTAAAGTCACAGGCTACTGTACACTGTACTCAGACATCAAAATGGGTATATTTTAGAGGCTATAATAAATTATCTGATGTGTATTTTGAGCTGAAACTTTACAGATACATTCGACACACAAGGCTTATCTTACCTCATGTAAATGGGGTAAAATAGGTTCCCTTTTAAATGTATTTTAATAAATTAATAAAGAAATGGTATTGATAATAAAACAGTGTACAAAAAAAATTATTCTATCATTTAAAAAGTACATTATAAAAATTTATTTGCAGAAATTTCACCCTTTTTTATTCATTATTAAAGTAAAGAATCACCACACACTGCTGAATAACACTTACAGAATGATTTCCCCCCTAAACATTTTCCCTTCCCTATCTGTTACCTTTAAAAAAATGAACATACCAAAAATGCTATCAAGCCTCATATTAAGAAAGTATAATATTCCTTTGGGTGGCCATTTTAAAATAATATTTCCAACTGAAAGACTGCTAACGTTGCTTTGAGCCTGACCTTAAGCTCATATGACTGTCTGATTTTTAATCACACTCATGTAGTCGACACATTCATTACACTGAAGTTTGTGCAGCTCCAGAGTGTGTTGTTTCTCAGTGTAATCTGATTGATTGCCTATTAACAGTTGTGAAGACAAGCGTGATTTACTCCTTCATATGAGAAGTGACAGCTGCTATTTTTCACACTTAATAGTGTCCATTTAGGGTTTAGCACTTGTCCTGTGCCATCCATCCCCTCAAAAGAAATTAATTAAATAAATAACAGTGTCTATTACTTGCCTTTTTCCAATGAGTCACTTTCATGACTCCCTGCCTTATACATAGAGGAGTTTTGCTGCATTGCAATCTAGCATTTTGGAAAATTAAGCTCCAATTAGATCAACTAGCCATGTTTTATTCTCTTATTTCTGTCTGATTCTATCGCAGCCACAAATATTTTGTGATGTAATGAGCTGTGTTCTCTGCATATGCATCTACATAATGTATAGTACATTGGCATCCACTTATATTGGCATCCTTGGTAAATATAGATCATGTAACCTTTTGATTTTTTAAATTAACCAAAAATAATAATTATAATAAACAGTAGCTTGAGTCTGTTTTGGGGACGAAAGTATATGCTTTTTTTTCTCAAAATACTTATTTAGGTCACATCAGATTGTATCTTTTTTTCTCAAACCGTCCTCCTGACAGTGTGCTAGGTAGACAGATAAACACAAATATAGAATATGTTAACTGTTACCCTGATGGTAGAAATGAATATTTTCAGTTTATATATTCAGTTTAAGGATTTAGCAAATATTTGCTGGTTGATGGAGGGATATTTTTTTACTACATTTTTAAACATAATAGTCTTAATAACTTAATAACTTGTTATTTTGCAAGACAATAGTTGTAGCGGTGTTCCATTGCCGCTATTGTTGGTAGAGAAAGCAAGTTTTGTACGCGTAAAGTCAGAGTCCGTAGGCAAAATAGATGCAAATAAAGACGTCTTTATTTTCCAATGAACAGAATTACTTCAGCACATTTCCTTAATCTATATACATTTCTCTGTTACCTTAAGTTGTTTGTTGACTTAAGTTAAGTTGCGCTACGGTACGAGACGGTCAAAAACTGTGTGCTTCCTACCAACACTATCTTGCTCCATGCAGTGAAGCCACAGTTATATAGGGCTCTATTTTGACGGTCCATGCGCAGAGCGCAAAACGCAGGGTGCAAACGCTTTCAGGGCGTGTCAGAACGCATTTTTGCTAACTTAAGGACGGGAAAATAATAATAATTCCTTACATTTATATAGCGCTTTTCTGGGCACTCAAAGCGCTTTACACAATGGTGGGGGATCTCCTCATCCACCACCAGTGTGCAGCATCCACCTGGATGACGCGACGGCAGCTATTTTGCGCCAGACCGCACACCACACACCAGCTGATTGGTGGAGAGGAGACAGTGATGAAGCCAATTGGAATATGGGGATTGTTAGGAGGCCATGATGGACAGAGGCCAGTGGGCAGATTTGGCCAGGATGCCAGGGTTAAACCCCTACTCTTGTCGAAGGACATCCTGGGATTTTTAATGACCACAGAGAGTCAGGACCTCGGTTTAACGTCTCATCCGAAAGACGGCGCTCACTGAGCAGTATAGCGTCCCCGTCACTATACTGGGGCATTAGGACCCACACAGACCGCAGGTTGGGCGCCCCCTGCTGGCCCCACTAACACCACTTCCGGCAGCAACCTAGCTTTCCCATGTGGTCTCCCATCCAGGTACTGACCGGGCGCAGCCCTGCTTAGCTTCAGTGGGCGACCATGTGAGAGTTGCAGAGAGCTAGCTCCACTTTGCGCCATGGCGCATGGTCTAAAAAAGTTGAGTTTATTTTCTTAATGAGTTATAGGTGTGTTTTGAGAATAAACCAATCAGAGTCTCTTCTTACATTCCCTTTAAGCACATAAGCACATTACGCCATAAGCACGTTACTATTAACATGACATAAAGTAAGTTCACTTTCGCTTTTTTTCTCGTGGATAGGGAAACCTTACCGCACAGACATCAATTAGCCTATAAATAATTAATTTCATTTGTTAAGAAAAAATATTTGTTTCAAAACTATTTCTAAATTCAATTCTAATTTCCAGCAAACGAATAAATGATTAATAATAACAAAGTGTGGTCAAAATACTGAGTTATTTCCAATACACCTGCTATGCCCCATATGGTCTAAAACCTGACAGGTAGACAAATCTAAGCTTGTTTTTAATAAAACAAATAAAAATATGGATATAATAAATAATACTGCCAATAATAATAAAAAGCAAATTGAATGAACTGAAAAAGCCTCCCGAGATGAAGAAAGTATGAAGGCAGTGGTTTTTAAATTCATGTAGGCTAGAAATTAATATGTTTTGTAATATTTTAATCATTTATATTTATATCCTATATATATATATATATATATATATATATATATATATATATATATATATATATATATATATATATATATATATATATATATATATCCTTATTATATAAATCTTTAAGATATTATATCTTTTTCATATGTAAAGATATTTGCGTATTGCTCTACATCTTGTGTGTAGTGTGTAAGCCAGGCGCACTTTGCGCCAGACAATAGACCGACTTTGTTCTGGTCTAAAGAACAGATTATTTACAGTTTTTCAAAATAGCAACGCGCTAAAACACGCCTGCTTTTTTAGACCAGAACGCCTATGGGCGCACATTTGAGCGCAAATGCATTTGCTATTTAAACAGTGTGGCGCAACACCTCAAAATGACCCTTGCGCCAAGCTTAAAGTAGCAAAAGACTATTGCGCCGTGCCTTGCGCCACATTGTGCCGGGTGTGTGATAGGGCCCATAGTCTTCTATGCACCTTGTGGCCAATGGCCAAAACACAATGTATGGCTCCTACAGTAGTGTTTAGTTTGAAGTGCAATTTAAAGGCTTAAATGTGCTGTATAAGTTTCAGACTCTTCTAAAGCATAAAAATAACATAATATGTTTGCTGATATCAAAGAAACATGCTAAGTGAACTTTCTTGTTTATCTAAAACAATTCTGATGTCAAATATTCTGCTTTGAATATGTGCCGGAATGGCTCTATTTGTTTTGGTTCTTTTAACCTGCCCAATGACAGTTCAGGGCTCAATTCACTGAAGTAAACACATGAGGTGTACCTGAGGTGATCATGTCATCAAGTTTTCTGTTTTCAGCTGCAAAAAAAAAAAATAAATAGAAAAACATTTGTAAAATAGAAATTCCAGGTATGGGTTTAGACAAAAACTTGTTCTAATATGAAGATATTCCTTCTATATGCCATTGGTGTTATTTAGAACATGATTTAAATTAGCGTTTAGGCTGGATAGTCATGCACACTCCTGTTGGTCCTCAATCTGGCAACCTGCGCTTGTGTGTGTTTTGATCCAAGAAAGCAATACCTAGTTCGACCACTGGATATCAATCATACATACTGCACCTTTAATTTGGTTTATTAGGTTTTATTTGGTTAACTAGGCAAGTTAGGTTAATTATTTAAATCATTGCACAACAATGGTTTGTTCTGTAGCCAATCAATAAAATATATATAAGAGATAAAAACTTTTTTTCTAGGAGAAAAAGTGCAATAGGGTAGGAAATACTGTGAAAAAAAAATCCTTTTTCCTATTCACTAACGTTTATTAAAATATTAAAGATAAAAATGGGAATGTATGGTACAAAATCTAAAACAGTTTGCTCATAGGAATTTTTAGAGGTACCAATAATGGTTGCCAATAAAGATATATTTGTGATAAAACTGTTTGAAATAGTTTGCTGTCAATGAGAGTTTGTGTTAATATGTTGAGCAAAATTTTAAAATGTTAATCAATAAAGATGTTTTTTCACAGTATTCTTTGCTCTAATTTATGGGTGCCAATATTAATAGAGGATACAGTATTTGCTAAGATCTTGCATTGTGTAACAATGAATGTTTTTCTCATGTCTCTTCTTGTTTAATTCCTTTGTTTGTTTTGTCCCAACAGAGAGTAAGGAGGTGTACAAAAGACAAGTGATGTCTATCACATGTATTGCCATGGGAATCAGCTTTCTAGGCACCCTCTGCATGGCTCTCTACTGCCGGAACAAGTAAGTGGACCTCAGAATTAATCAAAGCGTGAGCTGTTCCCAAGAGCATATCTTTTGAAAGAAGGGCACAATATAACAAGTGAGAGGAAAAAGCGACTGCTATGGAAACCCTGAAACATAATGACTGGAGGTGGGGACATAATTACTTTCTCATAAAGGCACCCACAGTTACTGGCCACCTTTCCAACAAGAATGAATTAAAACATTTTTGGCCCGTGGCATGCTTTCAATGCTGGTGCTTTTTTTTTGCTATTCAGCTTTTACAGACTTGTTTCAAGTGTTTAATTGAGACAAATACATTTACTGTCATTATAAGCTGGAGATTTAGATAGGTCCTCTTCAACTCCTCAAAGCTGCCCATTGTCTGTATGTAATAACACATTTGTAAGAATTACCAAAAACTAGTGCACTGCCTCGCTTCCTGTCTACTTAGGTGACTAGCTTATAAATCTGTATTAATGTGATGCCTCTATATTTTCAGTAAAATAAAGTTTCGCGTACAGATGATAGCACTGTCAAAATAAGCACTGTTAACAAGTATACACAAAAAAAAACAAACAATAAAATTACTTGAGTTGAGAATCCAAATGCTTTTTCATTTACATGAATAGTCATTCAGGCAATGGTCGACCACAAGAGCAAGCAGGTACATGCAGGAAATCCAAAAGGCGCTTTCGAGAATCAGACGAATACAGGTAGCAGGTAGGGATAGCTGACGTGAAACTGACGTTTCGACCTGAGAGATCTCGAAGCACAAGTGTCACAAAACACTTCACCGAAGCATGATCTGAAACACCCAGGACACGTGACTTAGGTGTTTCGAAACACCAGATTGTATGACTAAAGCAATTTAAAGCAACAGTCATTTCAGCAGCGTTTCAAGACCTGGCAAATCTGGGTTTGACTGACAGAGTCGAGCAAAAACTCATGTAGCCCAGTGGACCATGTGTGTGCACAGAGTAACTGTGCTGCAAATGGCCAGAGTTTGAATCCCGACTTGTACAAATACTCTGAAATTATGACTTGATGTATTTTAATAATGTTGCGTTTTTAATACCAAAATAAGACATTTATTCACAAAGTTTTCATTCGGATGTGAGAGCAATGTTAAAAACAAAACACGTTACAAGAACAGAGCATTTTGGAACCATGCCTATAACTTTATCTCCCTGGATTCGAACCCATTATCTTTGCATGTTAGTAGGAAACTCTCACCGCTTCCCTAAATCACTTGAAACCTCCAACCTACTATGTGGGGTTTAATGGCTAATTTGCTTAACTGTTTCTTTTCTGAAGCTATTTCAGAGCAATACACAAAGTATGACCAATAGGTGTCACTATAGAGATGGTTTTTGTAATGTTTCGAAGCTTCGACACTTTTTGCTTTAACTGTTTCAGTGTTTCATGAAGCCACGCTTTGCCCACCCCTAGTAGCAGACAGGATAAACACAGAATAAGGCTAGAAACAATAAACACTAAATAAGGCTGAAATCAGGCAAGGAAACACTTCCTAAAGTTTCTGGTTAAAAAATAAAAATAAAAATAAGACTTAGCAATGTGTATTTGAGTGAGTTCTATACATAGTCCTTGAAATCAGTGGGAATGAACAGCAGCTGTGTGTGAGTGTGTGTCCAAATGACTGTCAGCTGTGGCAGGAGTGATTGGTGCAAAGCATCCTGGTTGTTGTAGTTCATGTAGTGGCCAATGTAATTCTCCAGCAATCTCCATAGGCTTTGATTGCTGGTAATAGTGACAAGTATGCATAATGATACCATGCTGTAAAAATTATATGATTAATTAGTCCTGACAGCCTGTTTTTAGTTCATTGTAACTTATTAAACTTAATGATTAAACTTATTAAAGTTAATCATGTTCTAACATAATTTCAGAAGTTACGCAAGCTGTTTTAAGTCAGTTTAATATGAGTTCAATAGGCTTAAAAATTTAACTCAAACAGATTTTTTTTTACAGTGCAGTAATTCGCAATAACAATTAGTATATGTACATTTTTATTTGCCTAATGCCAAAAGGCATACTTTATGTACTTCTGTGATTATATTATAATGTATTTGTTTATTTATTTTGTTTTGTAGATTACATGAAGATAATAATGGTTTTTCTTTTTTTTTTCTCAGTGCACTTTGAAATCATTTGCACTTTTTCAAAAGCTTGAGTTTTCAGGCCCCTGAAATGCAGGTGTCAATTTTCAGGAAATTGCATAAAAACTTTCCCAATAAGATTTTAGATATTGTACTTGTTATTCCAACCTATTAAAATGTTATCTGGTAGAAACTGTAAGTAACAATACTTTCAAAAATCCTTAATTCCCACCCAAAACACTTTGAACACCAAAAATCATCAATAATTTCATTGGTTAAAGTCATAGATATTTACATTAGATGCTGCTAGCTGTTGTACATTACTAGATATACATTAGCTGTTGTATAGTTGAAGGAATGCGTCAATAGACCCGCCTTTTTAGTACAGGATAGCATGGGACCAAGGTGCAAAGTGCAGACTGGCCATCCGGAGCAATGATTTAAATACTCGTGTTTACATATATCTATAATATATGTAAATACAAGTATGTATTTAGACAGTATGCAAATATTTGTTTACATTATGAAAATAAAAATTTTACATAAATATCTTACATTGGTGGGTAAGTGACCACCACAAGCTTTGACGACAGAGCATATGCTTGTGTGCACGAAAATGTATTATCCGCCCTCCCTGTTAAATTTGATCTAATCCGTGTCCTGAAACACAGCCCCTCTCCTGCTTTCACTTCTCATTCTAATGCAAGGAGTGATTTGTTTGTGAATGAATCCTGGTTATGGACGACTCATTCACTTAGATGACAATAAAAGAGGTTTCTAGCGCTGCAGCATCTTGCTGTCATATATTATTTACATTGTTTGCTTATTTCATTCAACAAAACTAGCATAAGCCTATAGTGTTTAGCACAAAAGTTCATATTATACAAAATGTAAAAAACTAAATCTTACCTATGAAATGTTCTGCCCTTATGCTTTGTTTTCTTTGTTTGCTCGTTACTACACCCTCACACAATGCTGAAGTCCAGCATCTTCACATTGGCTTTAGTCTTGACTAGTGCAGTTGAAGGACATTTGTCCTGGGAGCACTGTACAAATGTGGCGGTGCTGGTGACACATGCTCAGGGTCCGTATGCGATATCTAGTGTATATATCTATGGGTTAAAGTGAGTGGGAACCCTGAAAAACTTGAAATGATACATTATTTGGAATCCTGTTATTTATTAATTACAAATTTTTTAGTTGTTAATTAGTTTGAGTATAAAACTTATTAAAAGTATTTAGATATTTTAATATTCAGATATTATTTGAACAATGTGGGTGTGAAAATTGATGTTTTGTGGTAAAATGAAAAGCATTTATTTTAGAAACAGCTTACGTGGAGTGCGTATGCTGTCTTTTGTAAGCATAAAAATGGAAGGTGAATAATAATAGCTGTCTTGGAGTGAAACTTTGATGGATCTGATCTGTGTGGTTGAGTATATATCCATATTTCACTCATGAGTTGAGTCAAGCATCAAACTGTAAGTCAAAGCTCCTGAAGCAAGAAGGGGTGTGTGTAGAACAGCCCAGCCATTTCAATAAAACACATGATACAATGAGCGAGCCACTGACAGAAGAAAAATCAAACAATGATGTAGTGACATTTAAGTGCACCAGTAATTATTTTATCTCCCAGGAAAATAACTATGGGCTGTCTTGGCTGTCAGAGCATATTCTTACAGATGATGGGTGATGTGTTCGCATGCGAATGAGTCTGCTTGTGTTTGTTTATGTAAATAAATAACCCCGTAGCCCATTGTATTATGTATTCTCATCTAAATATGCTGCCCCCTACAGGAGAAGGAGGGAAAAGCTCCAGGCACATTTGAAGGAGAGTCGAAGCCTGAAAAACTACAACCTCAACTCTTCCAGCTTGGCCAGTAAACCCAATCTTAGGCCTCAGCATGTCCTGCAGCTCCAGAAAGTAGGCACTTCTGACTTTTTTTTAATACCTATTATTGTTTATTTCTGTTTAGATAGCATATGGATATTCTTGAGCTGGGTTGCAGTTATATCTTGCCATCAGCCACAGATTTGTTTTTGTTTTTTGTTTGGTTTTGTTGCCTGAGATATCCATGAATGTGATATATGCACACAGACTTTTAATTTTCAGCCAGCCAGCCCCAGGGTTTCTTTCTATTTATAATGGTGTCTTTCCATTATAAAACCACCATGTTTAAGGTCAGTTTAAAAAAAAAAAGTGATCTTTACTGCCTGATAGATATACGATATGAAGTAGGTCTCATTCTAGACAAATAGCAATGTCTTTAAAATATGACAAATTGTTTTACCATAGTATTTTCAATGGAGTTTCTGCATTCGCCAGCTGAAGCAGATAGCACTTACACGGTCTTTCATCTTGTTTTTCACTTAAACCAATAAATGAATGCTCAACGCTATTAAACTGAACGTATTTAAATGACATTACAGCATCAATGCTGTAAAAGGAACCTGAAATTGAAAAAAACCACATTAAGCTTTCACTGAAAGTTTATCATTGGCTGAAAAACACTACCTGTGCATAAAGTCCATTGATAGTTAATTTAGTGATTGATTAAAAATACTGAAATATTACTTTATGGTTGAATATTTCATGTGAAATAAATGTGTCAGTTTGTAAGCTATCCATTCATCATATTAGCTTAGCTGGCTAACTTAGCTTATAACCTGCACAAATATTCAATTGTAAGTTTTGTGTGACTCAATAAGGAGAAGAAAATTGTGTTTAAAATCGGGAAGGAGTTTTCTGATTCTAGACATCTGATTTGATGTGCATGATGGATTTTTAGTGTTGTTTGTATTGTATTTTTACACAAGGAATTTCACTAACATATTTTTACACATTTATTTGTTGATTTTAATCATTTTAAAGTTGAATGACTAAAACATTGGTTCTCAACTAATTATGCCTAAAATTATTCCAAAGAATTCCATGATGCCTTTTTAAATTGTAATGTATGTTTTAGGAGGTCACTGAATCTGTCTATGAAGTTTCAGCAGTTACCCCATTCAACATTTTTAAAAGTGCATTTTTAGGAGGAACCAAAATGACTGTTTTGTGTCTATCTTTACATTTTAATGAGTTGATCTTTCCCCCTTTCCAAAAAAAGAACAGTGTCTTTACAGCTTGTGCTTTACTTATTCTAGCAACAACAGTCAAAGATTTGTTTTTCTGAGTGTACAGGCATAAAGCATATGCACAGAACATTGGCTGTCAGAGTCACTTTACATTACATGTTCTTTTTTTTTTTTTTTGTCTACTGTCAAATACACAGATGGTTATGTAAACACACAAGCATGCATATGGATTTGAGCACTTACAAGCATACACACAATAAACCACAAAATGTTGGTTATTTCTATGAAAGCATGTGTGTGCCTGTAACAGCGTGTCTGTTGGAAAAAAAGTTTATACTGGGAAAAAAAGTAAAATTAATTAATCATTTTTCTTTATGATGATTATCTGAAATTCAGAAATCTTGTCTGATCAAGAAAATTGTTCATATTAAGTTCTTAGCAATTCACAATACTATTCTGAAATTAAGTTTTTGATATATTTATAGTAGGACATTTACAAATTCTCTTAATGAAACATAATCTTCCCCTAATATTCTAATGATTTTTGGCATAAAAATAAATCAATTATTTTAACTCGGGTGTCACGGCGGCGCAGTGGGTAGCACGATCGCCTCACAGCAAGAAGGTTGCTGGTTTGAGCCCTTCTGGGTCAGTTGGCAATTCTGTGTGGAGTTTGCATGTTCTCCCTGTCTTTGCGTAAGTTTCCTCCTAGTGCTCCGGTTTCCCCCACGATCTAAAGACATGTGGTATAGGTGAATATTACAAGCTTAATTGTCAATAGTGTATGTGTGTGAATGAGAGTGAATAGATGTTTTCCATAGTTGGGTTGTGGCTGGAAGGGCTTCCGCTGTGTAAAACATAAGCCGGATAAGTTGGCGGTTCATTCCGCTGTGGCGGCCCCAGAATAATAAAGGGACAAATAAAGCCAAAAAGAAAATGAATGAATGAAAGAATTGTAACTCATACAGTGTATTTTTTGGCTATTGATAAATATATTCCCATGCAATATAACACTTTTTTCTTATCCCATAAGATTTTGTCATCAGGGTAAATTGTTACAGTTTACTTTAATTTTACAGTTTGTTTTTAAGTAAGGGCATTCAAATTGTCTGACAAAAATTGATTAGAAATGAGAGCAGCTGACACTTTGCAGCGCTTGGCTCACTATAACAAGGCTCTGTCACGGCTATTCAGGCTGTGTGAGTCTCAGAGGACAGCCTCGCTAATAATGCTAGTCATGCTAGTCCATCATTGATGGTTTGTGATTACTGCATCATTCTGTCTTTCCAGCACAGATGCCAGTCCTGTGTCTTACACAATGTAGACCATCTCTCTGCATTCTGTGTGGAGATTTAGTTAATATTCATCCCTTTCTCAATCGCTCCAACTAGCAGATCCATCACAGATAAGCCGATACAGGCTATTTGCATGGCAAACGCAGTGGTAATTTGTATGTCACTCAAACTCAATGTGATGTATAATCGCTACAGCATTCAGACACTGTCACAAGACGTCCAAGCGCAAGCCAAAGCCAGCTTTTGACACATGATGTTGTTAGTCTTTTTCTTTGAGTAATTATATGAATTGCAGTGTATATAGGATGTGAAGGCCCGTATTCATTACAGAAACCACTGGTAGCCATGTCTGTGAAACTAATAAGATTATTAAATGTTTAAAGTTAGCCATAACCTTGTATATAACGCCATTGACTGAAAGTTCAGCCTTACAAACATTATTAATACAGATAATCAGCTGGTGTTTGCCCAGCAAATATGACTTATTTAATGACTATCATGGATGTGAAATATTCGTTTCAAACAGCTGTCATCAGGATGAGCAAGAAGCATAATTCAGAGCTCTCTGAACTCTGTGACATGTCACACACTTACTAAATAACTCCTCACTGACATGGCATTTAAAACAATTACTATGTAGCATGGGACACGTCATCCAGATTGTATAATCCTGAACTAGGTGATGGTTTTGCATGTCATTATTGCTAAATTAAAATATCTATTACACTAGCATCCCCCTCCAGACAGCGCTTCTCAGAAAGCAGCATGTGTTCAGCCTCATGCAACTCTGTTGAAAGCAGATGCGTCAATAACCTTTGAACATAGACATGTGTTAAATCCCAATGAGTTTATTATTGACTATACATCCCATATATTGGACCCTGTTAGCTCATGCTGTGAGGAACTCTCTCTTACAGCTTTTATATGTGCCATTACAGTGTCTGAGGTGGTCTCCGCAATGCAATTTTGAAATAATCTTCAGTAGTGCTGTTTTGTTATGTAGTCTCAATTTTCAGTTCTTTTGTACAGCACTCCTTCCCCCAAATATGATCATTATCTTTCTTAATAAATTTTGCCAGGTGTAAACATCACATTTGCTGGCCTTGTGTGATGCATTTGCTATTCTTAGATTTCAATATCTGTTTGCTGAACTTAATTTGATAAAAGTGTGTTGCTTGTGTGGTGCAAAAATACGAGAGCTTTTAGTGAATTACCCATTAACATGTTTTGTTTTGCTTTGTCATTTTGTGTTGATGCAAAAACATAAATTATGATTAAATGATATAGTTTTATGGAAATGTTATCCTTTATTTATTTTTATTTAGAATTTGTCATTATTCCTAATTTATTTTACGCTAGCACAAGAATTGATAGGACAAAAAAATATCCTCATTATAACTGTAATAATTTTCCTAGAGCCAGTTAAGCAAAAAATGTTTGTTGGCAATGCAATTGACCCTTCGGTAAGCCCCGCCTTCCTTAGTTACTGTTGTTATGCCTGTCAAGCTTTCGTGCCTGGTATGTCTATTACAATATGTAGGCCCCGATGTCAGACATTGCCAGGGATATAATTACTCATTTTTGGCGAACAGGGGAGATATCCGAGAAAGCCAGACAGAAAAGGACTGTAGTATGCATTACAGGGATAAATTCACGACATAATAGGCAACCGATTAGAAAATAATTTAATCAAATTTGAAGCTAGGTTAGCCTAGCCGCTGACCATTCAATAACTTAGTTTATACACAGCAGGACAGGTGAAATTTAAAAATAATATAATAATAACAAATTAAACCGTGATTTCTCTTTTTTTAGCCAAACAGCCCAATAGACTAATTGTTGTGCAATGACATATAGCCTTACTAACCACTGAGGAAAAACACACATGAACACTGCTTCTATATAATTCATTCGCAGAAAGATAAGGCCAGAAAGGGGAAATTGATGGATTTGTGCCAAGTATTAGCATCATTGACCCATAACAATTTACAGTAGATATAACTGTCAGTATGTTTGTGTGATTTTTATACAGTCTATACTAATTTGCAGTTAAGTGGAAAAAAAATTAAATGCAATTCAAAGTATAAATAGCAGAAGTGAACAAATAGTTTTTCCCTACCAGCAAATATTAATCAGACACCAAATATAAAAGCAGACACTAACCTGGTATAACGCCATCACCAATGACAAAATCTCTAAAAGACTGACATTGGTGAATTGTAGCTCTGATATGAACATGAGGGTTATAAATGACTAAAAACTGCTGCGGGTGAAGTATATTGACCGCAAGTGCTCAGTTTGTGATCGCATCTCAGTTTTGTTCTGTTGATATGCAATTTTAAATATTCATAGCTTGAAACAGGTGGAAATATGATTTCTATTAGTATGACTACTGTTGCAAGGGCTTAAACAAAGCAGTGCTCATAATATCAAGTAAGAAAAAAAAGAAAAAGACAAGCATAACCTGCTTTGTATTCTTGTAGGAAACAGTTTAAATTTTTTAACGATAAGAGGTGTTTGAGTTATTGCTGTCTATCACTGAATGTGTCAG